ATTTTTTACCACTACAAACTCAGAAACTAAAGAGGAAGGATGACTAAGAAAAAATTTTAGAACACTTACTTAGTCTTAAAAAACTTAAAATCACACCCTAAATATCTTATCAAAAACTTTTACATTAAAAACTCAAATCTTTCGCACCGGCGACTCACGCTCACTCTGCCTCAGCTCGCCCACGAAAGAAAGAATGAAGAAACAAAGGAAACAGGTGAGTTTTTATAAAAATTCAGTGGGTCTCACATTTTTTTTAATTATTTCTCCTTTTCTCTCTCTTCTTCTCCTTTTTTTTTTTATTTTATACGTAATCATGCGCCGAAAGCCACCGTTCTCGTTTTCTTCTTTCTTTCCTTCCTCTTTCTCATACATTTTCTCTTTTTTTTGTAATAATAATAATAATTTAATAATATATTTTTTTAATTATTAATTAATTTAATTTTTTTAAAAAATTTTAATTTAAAATTATATCTTAAGTTAGATTTAATAATCATTTTCTACTAATTTACTTACCTTTAAATATTTTTTTAAAATTTTTATTAACCCAAATTAACTATTAAAATTTAAATTGAGATGTTACAGTAACAACAATTAAATATCATATATTTTACAAAATTAACCCTCAACCCTAAACCCATCAAAAGCAAAGATTAAGGCATTTTAACATCAAATCTCATAATCTTCAGCTACAATCATCTTAAACTCAAAAGCCATACTTGTACCAATATTTGACCCCACTCAAGCTTCTCAAATCACAACACACTGTCTTATGGCCCAAAACATAAACAATTAAATGCTATAAAAAATATCAAAATATGCATTTTTCTTAGTTGGCATTATAAAAGTAGGTACACATATATATACCAAAATAAAAAGGTCTATATTAGGAAACAAGATTCCTAAATCTCTAGTACTTTCCCCTTGCCTTGACCAGAGCTAGCACTTATAAAATAGGGATGAGTACAATCACTCAATAACTATAACTAATTTGGCCTATACAAATGCATGTTAATTAATTATAGTAATGCAAATGGCATATTTAAATAAAACATATTCATATATTAAACTACCTAATTCATATAATTATAAAACTAATAATCATGTAACATTAGATTATTTAGCATACAAGGGTTATAACAATAACAACCATGTGTCCCTTGTATGACATACAAGACTATACAAAATAACAACCATGTAATCATATAATAATATGCATTAAAAACACATATGAGGTCACAATACTAACAATCATGTGCCCCTGTTAAATTATGACAGACTGCAATAATAACAATCACATAGTTGAAATATGATATCATGATCAATACCAACCTTATACCTTTCTGATACCTCAAACATTAAACTGGTGACTATTTAATAGGCTATGCCTCTGAACTCGGACTTTCCAAGCCTTCCATTCATAAGGAACTGCCTAACTAAGACTTAATTAATTAAGGGAATAATTTTCAGGATGTTGCACCAGTAGGTTGGGAAAAGCCCTTTTGTGTATCAAGGGCATGCCAATGTACTTTCCTAAATCACTTGTAAGCCTAACTTCTAGCTTTCAACTGAGATCAATAGCTCTATTAAGATAAACATTCATTGAGCAACACATATTAGATTTGGTTTTATTCATCCTTTAACCTTAAAAGAAATAGAACTTGCTAACATAATTTTCTATAACCTCCACCTGATTAGCACTGGCTTTTTCAAAAAGAATAAGATCATTCATAAAGAACATGTGGGATAAAGGTGGCCCATCTTTACGAAGGATGATAGGTTTCCATCCGTTACCTTCAACCTCATCTATAATAATATGGCTTAACTTTTTCATATAGTGTGTGAATAGATAAAAGATCTCCTTGCCTTAAACCATGTGATGAGTGGAATTCTTCAATTAGTTCTCCATTCTAAAGGACATTCATTACAATAGTTCTAACACATGTCATAATCACGTTCCATAATTTATGTTCAAAGCCCAATTCTGTGAGTATAGCTCTAACGATTTCCCATTCCATCCTATCATAAGCCTTTTTAGATCCACCTTTATTGTCATCCAACCTCTGTCTCCTTTCTTGAGCTTGATAAAGTGAACAACTTCTCGATCAATAGTAATATTATTGCTTCCTTGTCTACCCTCAACACAACTACACCATTGTTTTCCCACAACTTTATCCATTATTGATTTCAGCCGGCTTGTAATAAGTTTAAATATAACCTTATAGTTGACACTATAAGGGGAGATATGTTTGAAGTCTTTCATTGTTTCTTGTTTGTCTATCTTCAATATAAGCACCGAATAGGTCTTGTTAACCTTCACAAACTTGTCCAAGTTAGAGAAAACCTCTTTAATAAAAGATAAGAGAGAATCCCTAACAATATGCTAGTAATCTTGGTAGAAGAATGGTTGAACACCATTTAGTCCAAGTACTTTGAAAGCATCCAGATCAAATGCCGCTTATTTAATTTCCTCATTCAAGATCCTTCTATGGAGGGTAGCCTTTTTATCAATACTCAACTTGGAAAAACCACTAATAGTTTGCAGAATATGATTGATAGAACTGTCACTTTAGAATAGATTGACATAAAAGCTTTTGGCCATATTTTCCAATTTGTTGTCTTTGAATACCCACTCCTCATTATCATTTTCCAAGGCATAAATTTCGTTCCATCTTCTATGTTTTATAGTTGAAGCATAGAAGAATTTGTTGTTCTTGTCTCCATAGTTAAGCCACTTACCTCAAATTTTGGAATCAAATTAATTCCTCTTGTATAATGGCTTTGTTATAGTCTCTCCACAATTCCTTTTCAACTTGGGCAAGATATTGACTATTTTTTCTACTTCTGGCAATCTCCACTCCTTCAATTATATTTAATAACTTCTTTTCAGTAGGGATGTTTCCAATTTTTTGCCCATTCCAATCACTAGCTAAATCTCCCATAGAGCTCATTTTGTCCTTCCAATCCCTTTTTTCCCAACCACAAGAGTCTATTTTAAGTAGTCAGTAAGAGTATTTTGAAAAGATAAATCTCAATCAAACCCATTTATTTAATATCAAGTTTATTCCTTATGAAGGAAACACAATATAAGCTAAAAATAAATCAATAATCAAATATATGTATGTATGTATGTATGTATGTATGTATGTATGTATGTATCACTTTTGCATCACAACTCAAATTAATTTAGATACATGTATGATAAATATAAATGCAATTAAGAAGCTGCTGTTGATAATGTTCCTTTTTAAAGCATTATATACACGCCTTCAGTTCCTTTTCCAAGAAGATTAATGTTGCATGTGGCGCTTAGCTCTTTTTGGCCGTGTAATTTGATAGTATCGATACTTCCTCTCTCGATGATCAGTTAAAACGCACAGGCATTCAAAGTGCGTGACTTCTATTATTTGGCCTGCAAGTTGCGAAAATAACTTTGTATTGTACCGATAGCAAGAGTTGCCAAGTATCCATCAGACAAACGGGTTTAAATTATTTAAAATTGAGATCTGTACTTTTTTATAAAATCTATCTTTTTAAAGAAGAAAGGAAAGATTTTATAATTTATAAAAAATAATAAAATGAGAAAAAACATTAAAAATGAAAAACTTTATATAAATTCATAGCTTTCAATTTTAAACAATTTAAGGGGTTGTCTGTTTAAAATTTAAAAATAAGTGATTTTTGATAGTTTAGAGATTTTATAAAAATTTATTTATTTTGTAGAGATTTATGAAAATAGCAGACATTATTTTATGTTTGATTATAATAATAAAAAATAATTATTAGTTAGTTATTTTTAAATTTTATAATATCTTGATTTTTTTTACAAAAATAATTTTTTATTATATTATTTTAAAATTTTATAATATTTTTATGTATCCTGCCTTTTTAAAATACTATATTTCATTCATTATATTAGATTATTTTGAGTGACTTCAAAAAAATGATCAGAATACTTCTATTCTCCAAATTCTTATTATTTTCAAAAATCTAAATAAACATCATAAAAACTCACTTTTAAGAAAAAGTGATTTTTTTCATGAAATAAACTAAAATAAACGGGCCCTAAATTCCATACCAACAGTTTAACATGCATAAGCTCTAGAAGTTTCATGGAGCATTGGAGCCTCTTGCCTTTAAATGTGGGGGTTTATTTTTAGCATCATTTATTCATTTTACATTGAGCTATATAAATGACTGACCTGACAAGATTTTGGCCTAGCCCAAACTCTGATCCTTTTTATGAAAAAAATTAAATTAACCAATTTATAATTTGTCTAGTTCTAGTATGATCCAAAGTTGAATAGGATCGAACTGGTCTTGTAAGACTAAGAAATTGATTTTGATTTTGTCCAGCATCTCACTTTTTTTTCCCTTTTCATTTATGAGAGTAGCAATTTATTTTAATATAATAAATTCAATTAAGATAATAAAATTATTTATAGTCATATAAAATTTATCACAACAATAACAATTATAAATCCATAATAATCTCCAACAACAATAAAAAATACTTCAATTACAACACAAATAATTTAAACTAAATAACCTTCAATATCTCTAAAGTCCATTATATCAAGTTAACAACAAATTTTACTAATGAAAGTAGAAGATTGAAGTTAGTTCATGCTAAAATTTTGTTAAATATCTATAATTTCACAAGTATAAAACACAAAAAATACTAATTATTATTATAAATTAACTTATTGTGATAAATAATTAGTAAATTAATTATAATATTACAAATAGAGGTACTGACTTACAAATTATAATAAATTACAAGGGTCCAGAATCAATTTTTGAAAAGTCGATGTAAAAAATATTGAACTTAAAAACTGCGGTGAGCGTGGATCGAACACGCGACCTTCAGATCTTCAGTCTGACGCTCTCCCAACTGAGCTATCCCCGCACTGCGTCGTGGGGGTCTTGATTTTATTTTAAATACTTCCATACCACCCTTATCAATTTTCCTTTCCCTGAAGTACGTGTCAATATTTTCTCAGATCCTCTTTCACAGCTCTTTGTTAGGATTTTCTGTTCCCGATCCACCTCCGCAAAGATATCGAAACGAACAATTTGGCACTGGCCTTCCGTTACGCTTGCGTGATCAGTTTTTGTCCTTCTTGGTTGAAACACCTGCGAAGCGTTCAGTTCGTGGCTCTGCTTTGGAAATAATGACATCTACGATGACTAGATCGCAGCTTCTTAGCCCTCCAAGTTCTCATCTCATAAAATTCGAACTCCCTTTTAAAGATTACAGATCGCTTGCCCAGAGCTTTCGTAGTTCTGAATTTCCTACCCTCGCCCTGAGACACAGACGTAACGCCCCGACCTCAATTTTCCCCAAAATCAGAGCTCAGAGTCTTCCCGGTAGAAATGCTGACTATATCCTTCATTGTTCAAACTCTGTTTACTTTGTTACTTAATTGGTTGCTCACTCTCCCAGATTATGTACCCGATTCCGAGTTTTACAAGGTGGAAGCGATTCTCAGGTTTAGAGGCTTGCTTATTCCCTTTTTTTTTTTTTTCAAGTGGAAGGGGAGACCGATGTTTGTTTACTTTAGTCGAGATGAGTTTTTTGAATTGACTGATGATCCTCATTGATCATATGTTGTTGAATTTTCAACGGAGCAGGCCTTGGCGAATCCCTCAGGTTTCTTCGGTACGGGCTAACCTTTGATTTGATCAGTATTGTGTGCACTTAAGCGTTTCAGTAATTCTTTAACTGGGGCAGGGAAACCTAGTGAGAAGGTGATTGATGTCAACGAAGGTGACATTAGCAATGCTTGCGTTACTATTTCAACATGTGAATTTTCATCTCATCCTTCAAAATCCTCATAGAGGCGTCACTGTATCGGGATCTCTCTCTGCCTTTTTTTTTTGGGGGGGGGGGGGGTGGGTTTGGAGTTTCTGCTTTACTTCGTAATCACCCTTCTCAACGGTAGTTTTTGTATATTCCGAGTCCTCACCATGCCCATCGATTAAACAAGGTGTGCTAGTTCCGTCAACAATTTCCACTCTCTTATGGAAAGCTTGTTTATTCTCAGCTGCCCAAATGGAATCGCAGTTTGATTCCATTGGATTGGGTGTAAGTGTAACTTCCCATCGCGTCTCTTGGCTGGCGCTTAAACTGGTATTAGAAAAGCAGAATCCCGGCATTTAATGATTCAGGTTCACCTGTTCCTCCGAAATATTTATGCATGGCCATGGGTCATTGCCGGCAACAAGGTTACGGCTAATTTTGTCAGATTTGGACTCAAAAGATCGTGGCTAGGCATCTTAATTTAGGAAGTCGTCTAAGCCCAGCCTACTGTTTTTTTTTTATGATCCCCGACCTACTGATTGTTATTTTTTCCTCAGAACTAACAGTGTCTAGTCACACCCCATTTCTCCACTTATTTTAAAGGCTTGGCTTAACCAATATTTCTGATGTACTGTTCATTTGTGTGGGTTTGTGCTATATTATTTACCGACCGCTGAGTGACGCAGTGCCATTTTTCCCTTATCATTATCATTATTATTTTTCATGAAGGCTTTGTTGAAAATGGGAATTCGTGGCGTCACAGTATCTGATGCCCGGGGCTTTGGATCTCAGGGTGGTTCACAAGAGAGGCAGGGAGGTAAGTTCCTTTCGAACTACGAATAGTTATTAAAATGAGGAAATATCATCCCCTTTCTTCATATCTTAAATGCCTTTTATAACGACGTTACGTCATTCATTGTGGGAGACCGGGAGTCATGTTGAATGAGTTGAATTTCATGTCACTGCGACTTTTCCTTGTTTCGAAAGAAAAAGTAAAACCATAATATTTGAGAGTTAATTTTCCTCTTTGGTTATAGATATATATGCATTGGGAGTTAACCCTAGTTTGTTAAGATGGAATGTTCCATCTGAACCTACGTTACGTTCATATTTGTATTTCATTCATATTCTTGCCCAAGTACATGATCATATTCTACCTTGCATGATTATGTTATGTTGTTGATCTCAATGCAGGCTCTGAATTTTCTGAAGACAATTTTGTCGCCAAAGTTAAGATGGAGATAGTAGTGAGCAGGGGTCAGGTATGTGGACATTTGATGGTAATCTGAGTGGCATTTTGCATTAAATTGGATCATGCACTTCTCTTGTTAAACATGGACAATTTGTAGAGGAGAGAAGAGAGAGACTCCTCAGTTGTTTATATGCCTTGGATTTTTCTATTACTATATTTTAAAATCCTAAACATCATGAGGAAGCCATAACCTTTTCTGCTTCTAACAAACTGAATCATATAAAATGAGCGAATACTAGTCAGTTGTCTGCAAGTGTTTCTGACTCTTCAAGAATGAAATTTGGCTACATATTCATGGTTGAACGGAAAAATTCATTTCTGCAACATATCTGATAAGATGTTATATTTCAAATAGGTTGAAGCAGTTATAAACAAGGTTATCAAGACATCGAGAACAGGGGAGATTGGTGATGGCAAAATTTTTTGTAAGGCTTCAACATTCTTTATCGCCTAGTCGTGGATTGTACTGTCTGGACTGTTTGCAGCTTTATTTACATTATATGTGTGGATAGATTAGGGATGTTGATGGCTGTCTCAAGTTGATCTTATGTATTCTCATGTAGTAGATATCACACTCTGCTCTGTCTTTAGGGAGAATAGATTTTTCAAACCTGTGATTTTGTGAAGCTTGATTTCCTGTTGAGCAACTAATTACTTTTCTGTCTCTCAGGTCCCAGCAAGAGATGAATACTTAATAAAGTTTTTCAACTTAAAGCCAAGAGAAAGAAAAAACTTTCGCAGATTGAAATGATTAACTTTGTTTTTTTTTCCCCCTTTACTATTGTGATAATCAGTTAAAAACAATTTGATGGCAAGTATACCAGAGAGTTCAGATACCGAAAACTGCATGTTGCCCATCCTGCGGACCTTTTACACAGCACACTTAAGTTTAATGTGTGCTTCCCTTTCACTCCTACTTGTCATAAGTTTAGAACTAAGGAAGTAAAATATTTTTAATTTTGGTCGAGTAGATTATATGTTTCATATAGTCATGCGCATCAAACTTGGAATTTAAAGTTCGATGGGATGTTTCAAGAATCGTCAGGACTACAGGACCGGAAAATCTAAATTAACCTGATACCCATTTCTTGTGAATGGGATTAGGTATATTGACTTTGCCTTGGTTCGCGTGATGAATGTTTTGGAGAAAGAAAAAAAAAATGCTACGATCTATAGAGTGGAAGAAAATATTTTATTTTGATGATCTCGCTCAACATGGAATCTCAGTTTTAATGAATTATTGATTGTGCAGTGACACCTGTTGCAGATGTTATAAGAGTTCGCACAGGTAACCTGTTTGTGGAATTTGCCCACATGGAAAATTACATATTTGTTCTGTCAGCAAATAGACTCAGAAGAAGCTGAATATGAATTTTTCAGGTGAACGTGGGGAAATTGCGGTGAGGATGGCTGGCGGGCCAGCTTCTGCTGTATGAGCGTTTTGAACCAGAATGAAATCTAGCTGGCCTCTTGGGGAGCACTTGGCTTTGGCCCTATGATCCTTTTCTTCTCAAATCTTACATTTCAGAGCTTTTTAATTGTGTTTGAGGTGAAGGCAAATTGCGATGCAATAATCAAGTAATATATGCACGGATAGCCAATAATAAGTGGAGATTTGAATCGATTTTTATTTTTATTTTTTAGTAGTAACTTCTTGATGTACTAGACGTTTGCGTAGGAATCATGAAGCAGAACGTAAGGGTGTTAACTGTACAGAAGGCAAGTAAGACTTGAGCACGCAAAATTTATGTGCAAGTAGTTTTTAGAAATAATATATAAGAACCACACATTAACCAAAGAGGCTTCTAGTAATTCATCCCCTAGTGATTCCAAAAGAAAAATTAAACGTCAATATCAATATATACTTTATAAAACTTCATGCGAGTGGTATCATTTAATTTAAAAACTACATATAATGCATAGCATAAAGAGGCGTATGCGTATCTAATTTTCTGAAAAAATTTGAATATTTAAAGAATCGTTCGATTTTGGCAGGCAAAAAGAAAAAAAAAATGAATTGATGAATCCTTGATTAAATTTTCTAACTACATCAAGTGATGTTGGAAATTGGGTATGAACTTTAAGTTTGTATGATGCTTCTTTGTTCTTATTTATTCTTCCAGTTTTATTTGTAAAGCAGAGAAATAAAATTAGTTTTTAATATATTTATGTATTACTTTACTATTTTTTATGTTTATCTTTATATTTTCATCCCCATTAAATGTTAGAAAAAATTAATAAAGATAATTCATTTTATTTTTATTAGAGGATAGGGATACAAAATTATTAAATTTTAAAATAAAATTAATTTTTTAATTTTAATGAAATAAATTAAAAATAACTTATATATAAAATTATATAAAATATAGAACAGAAAGAGTATTTATTTTAATCATATTTATAGGATATATTAATTATTGAATTCATCTTTTCAATTTTGTTTCTAATAAATGTTAAAAATGTTATTAAATGTTTGAATCTTTTATTTTTAAAGCATTTATGTTTAATGGAGATAAAATTTAAAACTTGTTAAATTTTTAAATAAAATTAATAAATTTAAAATTTCCTTTTTTTTAAGTAAATAAAAGCACATCACTGCTCAACTCACTGGCAATGCATAGTTGCTGACCGCTGACCGAGGCATTCTGGTGATGAAGACCCCACCGATGGGCCCTTGTTTCATTGAAGGAAAAAATGCAGCAACTAAACGGTCACGTGAACAACGTTGCTTCCAAGTAATTAGGCCCCCCCTAAATGTCCGGGGAAAGCCACCTCACGTCTTTCATCTTTCCCATACACGCTGCGAGTGCCCACGTCATTTTCATGACGCTTCTCCAATCGCTCATTTCGACCACCTACTTTTCTTTTCAACTTTATATTTATTTTTTGCTATAAATTTTTTATTTTAAATTAAAATTAATGTTTACATCTATAATTTCTTAACCAGATATTAAAAACATCCAAATTGAAATGTTCACTTTTCCATTCCAAAATTTGTTATCATGTTACGAAGAAAATCTTCTTCTTCTTTCTTTGTTTTTTTTTTTTGGCCTGAATGTTACGAAGAAAATCAGTACTAGTATCCGACGGGATTTGTATTTAAAAGAAATAAAGATAACAAAAATGGTCATCACGTAGCATTTTGCCGACAAAAAGTTCAAGTCTAAACAAATAAAAAATTCTGGGAGCAAATTAAAGAAGCACTTTGTTCACATAGCAATGCATTTCACTCCATCTTCAGATTTATAATAACATTACTTACGTGGCAAATTACAAAGACCAGTCACATAGCAAAAGACATTTTACTCCATCTTCAGAACTATAATAACATTACTTACGTGGCAAATTTTACAAAGACCAGCGTTGACACAACCTAGAGGGTGCGCGCGTAAATATATATGCAGAGAAGCAACGAAGCCCGAACATTCGCAGACACACAACCTGAACCTAGGCCAAAAACCAAAAAAACCAAAACAAAAAACAAAAAAGAAAAAGTGTGGAAAATCAAAAGGCCACCCAACCCCCCATCCTTACGGAAAATCCAAGGGACCAATTATGTCCAAATTAGAATCCTCCCACGGCAGCCGGAGTATATATCAGGCGGCAGAAGGGGCTGTTATATACGGAAGTTGACCAGCCTCCGACATCGCTGCTATCAACGATCCCCTCTTCATTGATCCAGCATCGCCTTCCACTCCACTCCTGCCCTTGTCGTAATCCAAGGTTTCATCGTTGTATATGTCCCACCATTTCTTGACCAGCATCTTTATGTCCTCTCTATTCATGTTCTCTTCCTTCCCCGTATATCTCCACGGCTTCGATCCCTGTTCAACATCCACACCAGTCCTCTCAATCTCACTTGGTTCAATTAAAATGCTGCATGCATCAATTGAATCTTGGGGACAGATAAGTTACCGCAGCGCAGTAGTGGACAACTTTGACTTTGTCAAGTTCCACGTTCTCGGGATGGCGCCACAACATAGCCAGGACAAGGTTGTAGACCAAGGGAATTGGCTTGTAAATGGGCTTGAAGTACATGTTCAAGAAATCCTGCTCTGCAAAAGGCGTGGGAGGAGTAATTTGGAGTGTTTTCAAGAGATCGTGGTATGTCTCCATGCCGGGCTCGAACACGAACATTCCAGCGTTGAAGTACAGAGCAGGGGGTTCACCCATCTCCGCCGGCCACTGCACCTTGCCCGGACATTGCTGGCAGTATCGGATCCTGTACTGCGGGGTGTGACTCCATGTCTTCTCGCAGAAGCAGTCCATGACAGCGTACAAGTGTCCGTCCGGCAGATCAAATAAGTGATCAATGTTGTCGTACACTTGAATGTCTCCGTCCAAATATATCATCTTGCTATATTCCACGAACTGCAGTCATTTCATTTAAATTTATTACATCAACCAGCAATCCTTCGATAAGGACCACAAAAATAGATACACGCGCCCAGTCAAAAAGTTGGTAAGCCCATCCAAATTAATTAATTAACCATTCAATTGTATGGTCTTAATAATTCATAAATGAGAGGAATTATTTGATGGGCGAAAAACAGAATATAAAAGAATATGTGTCGTAGAAATGCTGTTGGGCCTCCGCGGAGACGGGGCCAATGAGAACAGAAACAGCGTCACGAGTTCCGTGCGTGAAAAATGGATCCTTCCAGACGACGTAATAAAGTAAGAACTAAGAAGGTACCTCCCAAATACGGAGCTTAGAGTAGTTGATGACGTAATAGGCCATGGCAAATTGAGTCTGGTTCTCCGGAGGGTAAACGGGTTCAATCTCGCGGACGACGCAGCCCTGAGACTCTAGGATCCGACGGTGCTCCTCCGGTACGTCCGGGAGGACGGCCACCACCAAGGGATACGCCGACCTCACCTTCCTCAAACCCTTCGCCAGACCGACAACGCCTTTGACGTAGTCTCCATTTCCGGCAAGAAATGTGACATAAGCTCGACTGCGCAGGGTGGCCGGGGGGGTGAAGCCACCGGATTTGACTACGGTGGGGACGAGCTCAGGGGCCATATAGTTTCACAGACGAGAGAAACGAACCGTAGACAAGAAGGATCGGAAGGTTAAAGGTTTTAATAAGGGCTCGGGAGGGAAAGGGAGCTGGATGGAGAACAGGGGAATATGCCGAGCTGCGTGCGTGCTACTTCAAGGATGGTACTTGGAAAAGAGAAGTTGGGTGTCGTATTTATAGACGAGAGAGGGCTGCGTGATTTTACGAAATGGTGGCTCCGGGGCACTGGGCGAGTTGAAGGGATCCAGGGTTGCATGTCCACCACGTGTGAGGAGGGAGTGATCCGACGGCGTGGGGATGGTGAAAGGATGCTTCTGGAAAAGGGTCCCTTGGGAATAGCATCTCCCTCGGAACGCACTAGAAGACGCCACTGTTTCCTATCCTCCAAATTTGCCGTCTCGCACACTAATTTTTCTTCTCTTTTTAAATTCGTCTCTCCCGGCGCATTGTGCTTTTCGTTCTTCTTTAGCCTCTTGTATTTTATTTCCCCCCTTTTAAATTTATAAAATAAATTTTGAAAAGATTATGTAAATTAGCAAAATATAATAATAAAATTTTACAAATTTATTTTTTAAAAACAAGATAATAAATTTTTAAAAACACCCTTGTACGCCTAATCGTTAAACTTACATATCATTTTAAATTTTTTCTTTACTGAGAGGTAATATTAAAAATGTTTTATTGATGAGATTTTTTTTATAATTATCTTATATTTTATGATGACAATATACCTTAACTTTGTCTTGTGAATTGGGAAGGAGGGGTTTTTTTTTCCATTGTCTAGTGTCCTAAAAAATATGAAAATATTACCACTTCCTATCCAAAATAATCTAAATCCTAACTATGTGAAATTGTTATTACCAACAACCATATCCTCATTTCATATTAGAAAGTATCCTCTAAAAAAAATTGTGATAAAATATAACTTTTAATCCATGTATTTTACTCATGTTTTGTTATGGGTTTTATTTTGATATTTTAAGTCTTTATACTTTTATTTTTTAATATTTTAAATTGCTCCATAAACAAAGTGTAAGGACTTAAAATATTAAAAAAAATACAAAAAATAGTAATAAAATGTGAGTAAAGTATAAGAATCAAAAATTATATTTTTTTTGAAGATTATTTAATTCTTAATGCAATGCATATAAAGAGTTATTATTATTTCACAATTTTATTTCAGTTGTAAATTTAATTTTACAATTCATTGTATAATGTAAATCCCTTCTTCATATTTTTAATTGAGTTAAAGTTTAATTTTTTTTTAAAACATACTTATTGAGCTGACAGCTATTATTTGGTTTTAATAAAAAAATTAAAAGTGTCTAGTAATAAAAATGGAAGGAAGTGTAAATCAATATTAATATATATTAATAAATAAATATTCACTCTAGTTTTATTTTTAAGATAGAGAAAACATCATTTTTAGATAAAATGTTTCATTGACATAAATTTAAAAAATTCTTATTTTACCTTAATAAATATTAGTAAGGTAAAATATATTATTTTTAAAGTATACAATATATTTAATAAGTGTAAAATTAAAAAATAATAATTTTTTTAAAAAAATTAATGTATTCAAATGTTCTCTTCAATTTTGATGAAGCACAGTAAGATTGACTTATAAAAAAATAAAAAAAAATTATGAATTTAAATTTGGTAAGTAACTTAAGTCAATTCACTTTTTATAGTTTGAAATTTAATACAATTTGAACGTCTAACCATATTAATTTCAAAACAAATTAGCCCTTTAATTTATTAAACAATTAAGGGAGAATTGCATCTAGGGCTCTCAAAAGGAAAATAACTACTCTTCCAACTCAATATAATCTAATAATACTTTAGAGGCCTAAAATTCTCATATGCAATTAGGTTTGAAACTCAAAAGACTAAACTGTTCTTGTTTGAAAAATAAAACTTAGAAAAATAGAAAATCTATGCTACCCTATAATAATCTTCATCTTCAACCTTCATCGTCTTCATTGTCCAAAAATCAAATTGCTCAAGTCAGATCATATCGGAGGCAATAAAGAAGAGCCTAAAAAAAGGGATGAACTTTTCCTATAGAGAAAGGATAAGTATATGCGAGTTAAGTGGCTCTCTTCTACCTATACTAGGACCAAGCAAACCCCATTGTCCTCTTCTATTGTCCCATCCGACATTGTTTTGAAATCACAAACTTCTAAGAAGGGGGATATGATTAGTAACAACAACGATGACTTCACAAAGATAGAGGATGATTGTGGCAAGTTGGAGTTAATTTTTGAAGAGTAGATCTCTTTTTTAGAAGCTGGTTCTGACAATAAGACAAATCTTTTTAGGGGCATGTATTACCCAAAAGGAAATTGTGGCAGATGCAAGCCCTAATTGTTACTAGGTAAAACATGCTTAGTCATACTTTTCCTCTTACAGCCTCATGAATCCACCAAAACTTAGATCCAATCACACCACCCCGCGTCATGGAAGATGACGACAATAAGGTAGTTTCTCTACTTTGCTAGATCTGATGAAGATGATGATAGTCAGGCAATTTTCAATTATAGGGATCACAAGAAGATGATAGAAGTTGGTTATAAAAATCATTGTATGGTTGAGAAAATGAAGAGAAGTGAAGTATGAATTCCGATGGGTTCTATTTTTTTTAAATGGAGGCAATTTGGTCTTTTTGAACTTTAAAATTAATTGCATATAAGGCCTTTGAGTCTTAGGAGTATATATTATCAGATGGTATTAGGTTTATAGAGCAATTATTTTTCTTATAAGGGCTCTAGATGCGATTCTCCCCACAATTAACTATCAGTATAGTTACAGGGTTGAGAACTTTGAGGGTAATCACGGATAGTCAGTCAAATCTGGCGCAATAGCAAAAGTGGAAAACAACCATAGAGCACATTCTTCTAATGTCCCCAAGTCTCACGAGGAAGCATGTGCTCCATGGTTTTAGAAGAATGTAGAGAAAAGTAGAGAAGGGCGTGCGGGACATTATGTCATGAAATGCAAATCTAAAATCGTGGCTGATACTCGAAGTTGCACCGCAGGCGTCACGTCATCAAGTTCCATGTAAACTCTTGGATGCTTCTACGACGTTTGCATTTTCCTGCTAAAAAGATAAAATTCATTTAATCATACAAAAATCATCCATGATTGTCATTGTTGCATCAGGCAAGGTTTATGAGGACGTGGGCTATTCATTATCACAATTAATATTCTCTTAATTTTAAATTATAAAATATTTTTAAACAAAATATCACATATCAATAAATTTTATTAAATATATTTAACAATTTTATTTTTTTAAATAAAAATATAAAATTTTAAAATTATTATTTATTTGATAATATTGAAAAGAGAGTGGGATGAAAATTAAATAGAAAGAGAAAAATGATAATGTTGAAATAAATATATATAATGAAACCTTAATTTTATCAAAATATCTCATGTTTTAAAATATTGAATCTTCTTTAAAAGTATTCAATAATTTGGGAGAGTAGTAAAATATAAATGAAGAAGGCTTATTATCTAGTATCCAAGAATTGTAAGTAAAAAGTAGAATTAGAGCTGGAATTCAAGGATTTCTAAGAAATCTGATTATAACAAAATACTTGGAATGGGATTCCACCCCGAAAAGATTTCGATTCTTTTCCATGTTACCCTCATTTTGTCCTCTCCGATGGAGTTGCTGTCGAGCTTCAACCTCCGAAGTGAAATCACTGTCAAACTTCAACGTTTAGCATAGCAACGACGATGAAATGACTAGGACGATGAGTAAGTGGCGACAATTCATGTGAGACAGTGATGGTAGAAGTCATCAGACCTTTGTTAACTTGGCGAGTTAGGATCTGATGCAAGGTCTTCAAAATCGACATGTCCATCCCCTCCCACTCATCCAACACAACGCTGTTCAAGTTCGACGCCCTTGGGGTGTTCGAATCTTGGTTTGATGTCCTTTGCAAGTTTAAGATTTTCTGCTACAATGAATGAGAAGGTGATTTTTTTTTCTTCATTTTGTAGGGAGTTTTGTTAATTAGTCTTTTTTTTTCCTCAACACTAGTTAATCTGATTCATATGTGGCTTTGGATAAGGCCAATGGAGTGGACCGGCTGTGTAGTGTGTGTGCGTGTTTTTTTAAAAAAAAAAAAAAACCGGTGTAGTGCTTTTTTTCTTGAAAAAATCAACAAGGGTATTTAGGTCTTTTGTATTTTGGATGCATATATCCAATAAAAATTATACTAGATTCTATCTCTGTGCTGAACATATTTTTAAATTTTAATTATATTTTAATTTTAATTTTAATTCTATTAAAAATTCTTCTAACTACAGGCTTTGAATACATTTTATATATTAAATATGTTTTTATTTAATAAAATGAAGACGAGTGAATTTTGATAGGTTAAAAGTACCATTATAGAATCCCGTCTTTTCATAAAATTCTTGATAACAAAGTATTTGTGCTAAAATTGAAACATCACTTACTAAGAGTCATAACTTAAAGTAAGCTAAGTAACCAAAAAATAAGCCTTGTCACATTGTTTGTTGAATGATTGTCCCATTATTTATTGAATAACTTAAACCTAACTAACTCCACCAGTTTTTCAAAAAAATTATCCTAGGGTTTATGATATCCCAGGGATTTGACAATAGGAGAAGTCATGATTTGAGAATGAGTGTGATGATCTTTAGCTTAGTTACTCCTCACATTTAGTGAGCTTAGGGTGGTCCATTCATACAGACGGAGTCCTAATTGATTTTATAGCTCACTGTTTCAGTCAAAAAAAATAAGAAAGAATTGTTCATGCATTTTTATCCGACATGTCACATGATTGATAAGTTTATGACAAGTCATAATAGTTGATAGCGCCATTATCATATAGTTACTATTGTTGTAGTAATATGAAAGGCTATGTTGCTTAGACCATTATCATATGGTTATTATTGTTGCAATAATAGGCAAGGCTATGTTGCTTAGGCCACTATCATATGATTGTTCATATTGTGACAATGAGTCTCATGTTGTGATTTATGAAAAAAGAATAAGATGAATTTGATAACCATGATATGTGTTATGTGTGGTTAAATGCCTAATTTTTCATTTTTTATAAATATTTAATTGTCAATTAATATAAAGTTGCATAAAATAGACCTA